CATTCATTATAGTGGCCTAACTTTGGCAAGTTAAGTTCTCTAACCCACCAACTTTTATGGTCTATAAACACCTTATTTTAACTAGTTGGTTTTATAGGTCATTTACCCTGGTGGCCTAAAAACTCATCTTGCAAAAGTTAGGACATCATGGTAAATACACTGTAGCTTAGAAACGCACTAGATGCATATGGTCATTTTTAGGTCATTTATCATAATGGCCTAGGAAAATCAACTTGCAAAAGTTAGGCCACTATGTTAAAATGGAAAAAACTCTAAAATTGAATTTCATACTCACCGAACATATGCAAATCTCTTCGGGACGGACATTATTTTAGTGTCATCCAACTGTCTGACACTCCAATGATAAAACAAGAGAGCAACTTTCTCGGGTCTTATGATCCCTTTCAAATTGTACCAACTCGTCTCCGTTGTTTGGTTGTATTTCAAAAATGTCATATCCTTCAGTAATTGCTGCTCGTTCTTGAATTTTGTGGGGAAATCCTCAAATTTCAGGACACGATTTGAGGCAATACTAATTTCAGAGAAGGTCGGTGGGATGGATCTGAAATTGTTGATTTTTTGGAGTACGAATTTTTGCCTCTAGGGACTTATAAGAACAGAATTTCGAGGTTTTTTTTGAGTAAAAAGACGCACCTCATGAAATGGATGAAATTATTGGGACCATTGTAAACCAAACGTTCATCAATGTCCATATTGATGACCCATTTTGAATGGAATCGACTTCGATAATGACATTCCTTAATTTTTTTAAATTTCTTTAACATGAAAAAATTTGTACATATGTCTCCATGAAAAGTTGAACCAATCTTTGGACTATCATAAATACCATAATAGAATGCCCCACACAACCCGTCAACTTTGAGTTCAATTATCTAGGCTCCTATAAGAGATATCAAAAATCTGTCAACTGACAAATTGTTTATCATGTTATCACCAATATTTTATCAGTTGACAAATTTTTGATATCTCTCATAGAAATCGAGATAATTGAGTTCAAAGTGTAGAGCTAACTCACATGTGTCTGAATCAAATGAAACATCCACCCCAATTCACATATTCCATTATATATTTGGTCGATTCAGCCAGCCCCATCCTCTCATAATCATCAATAATCCTCCGATCATACTCATTCATATTGAATATCGTAAAATAGAACATGGTAGTTCCCATCAATCGATAATGCTCCACATATTCGATAATTTCCAGCCACTTGGATTCGTCGCCGTATAATGGACCAACACAGACGGATAGCTCGTGGGCGGGTTCTGGAGAAATTTGGTTTTTTTTGTGTAGAAATAAAATTAGCTCATCCAAACTGTAACAATTTCGATTGTCATAAAACCCGTGAGGAATAGAGTGATCTAATTTTTCAATAAAATATTCACCTGGCATATTTTTTAGGTTATTTACCATAGTGGCCGAGAAAACTCAATTTTCGAAAGTTAGGTCACCATGTTGAACAGTCTAGAAATGACCTAATAGGCATCTGGTAGGTTTTCTAGACTATTTTTACATGGTGGCCTAACTTTCTCGCCATGATTTTTTCTAGGCCACCAACTTTTGTGACTTATGAGTGGACTAGAAAACACAACAGATGAATTTTAGGTCATTTTTTAAACTATCAACTACCGTGGCCTAGAAAACTCAACTTGCAAAAGTTAGGCTGCCATGTTGAAATGGTCTAGGAAACACACCAGGTGCATGTTAGATCATTCCCAGGTCACAAACTTTGATGGCCTAGAAAACTCAACTTGCAAATGTTAGGCTTTATGTTACAATTGCCTAGAACATTTACTCAGGTGGACTAGAAAAATCATATTGAGAAACTCAGGCCACCATGATAATGATAATGATAATGATAATGACCATGATAATGATGATGGCCACCACCATGGTAAATGGCCTATTAAACGCAATCTGACTGACAAAGCAAAAACGCTCTCATCGCAAAAATCTCGAATCTCGAAAGCTTCAAAAAATAAGTCACTTACGTTCATAAACCCTGTTTATCAATGGTATGGGGTCCTCAATAATCTCCTCATCGTCGTCTTCGTTCCATTTCAAACTGACAAATTCGGCTCCGACGCGTCTTGGGCAGGAGACTACAGTCAATGGCATCACATAAGATTTGTATCTGGATTTTGGAATTTCTCGCTGATTGCAATCAAAGTAGAGACAGGTGACTTCTTTTCTGGAAGTTTTGTTTAATTTTCAAAAGTACCGAAGAAATCCAATTTTTCTCGCTTCCTATTAAAGGTATCAAAAAGTTATCAACTGATAAAATGTTTATCATAACATCAAAAGTATTTTATCAGTTGACCAATTCTTAATATCTTGCACAACAATGGAGATAATCCAGTTCAAAAGAAACTCACGTATACGTATGGAACGCGGTGGTGACTATTGAAATCTGATCGGGGTACACAAATGCTGATAGAAGACGAGATTCGGCGTCCAGCATGTCATTCTACAAAAAAAAATTATAAAACTAAAAGTTATTGGATTACTGTACATGTCCACCGAGGTACTGACGTCTCCAATGTCCGAATTCTGCTGCATGGGGGATGGAATTGGTGTTCTTCGTGTTCCATTCAGGGACCACACATTTTCGCGGGACTATTCGGCTGAAAAAAATTGGTTTAGCCATAATAACCGTAATATTATCCTTGTCTGAGAAAAAAAAAGGTTGAGACGCAGAGAAAAAGTGTCTGTGTCTCCACCTTATGTGTGCTATTTAGGCTCTCCGCTTCGATATCGCTACCGTATTCAGACTGCAAAAAATACTCTCTAACCTTTTTTTCTCAGACAAGCATGATAATGTAAGTGTCATAATTCATATTGACCGCAAGCCCAATAGGTCCGTTTCTAGACCATTTCTCAGAATATTTCAGAATCTTCAAGATTAAGAATATCTATATGTCCTGTCTTTTAAAGACAGTAAGTCTATAAGGACCGTAAACCCATATTGACCATATGCCTACAAAGACTGTTAGCCTATAAGGACCATAGGCCTAAAATAACCGTACACCGCTTAGGATCATAAGGACCCTGTACCCATAAGACTCGTAGGTTTCAAGGACCGCATACCTCTTAAGACCAAAAGCCTATAAGGACCGTAAGCCTAAAATGACCTTAAACCCATATTGACCGTAAGCCTACCAGGACTGCTAGCCTATAAGGACCATAGGCCTAAAATAACCATACACCGCTTAGGACCATGAGGACTCTATACCCATAAGACTCGTAGGTCTTCAAGGACCGCATACCTCTTAGGACCACAAGCCTATAAGGACCGTAAGCCTAAAATGACAGTAAACCTATAAGGACCGTAGACTCATTATGACAGTAACCCTATAAAGACCGTAAGCCTATAAAGACTGTATGCCCATAAGGAGCGTAAACCTTTGATTTTCGTGAGCATATGAAGACCGTAAGCCTATAAGAACGGTAACCGCACAAGGAAAGTAAGCCTATAAAAACCGTAAAACTAACAAGACTATAAAGACAATAAAGCTATAAGGTCGGTACACCCATTAGAACCGTGAACCTAAAATCACAGAAAGCATATAAGGACGGTGAACCCTTTTCGGGACCATAAGCCTAGAGGGACCGTGAATCCATAAGGACCGTAAACCTATACCTATTAGGACCCCAATCCTATTAGGACCGTAAGCCTACAAGGACGATCTACCCGGACCACACCCCCATGAGACCAAATTAAAAAAATTTTACCTCTGTCCATGCCCTTCAACAATCCACGAATCTTCACTATCACTTGTCAATCCGCTCCGATTGCAATACAGTAGCCAAGTAAAAAATACCACAAAAATGAGAATTAAAAGTTTTCGACGATTCGGTCGACGCATCATTTCGTCGTCCATCTGATGAAAATATTTTTTCGTCAGGATGCCTAGTCGATGTCTTTTTTACAATCCGCTTCTGCCGTCACCTTAGGAGATTGCGATCTATGGAACGAGGGAAGGAAAAAAAGGAGGAAGGAGATCGGAAAGTGCGCGCTGTTAGCTTCTTTTTGTTCTGGCGAAAGAGAAGATCATGGAATGCTAAAAAGTATGGGAAGGAAATTTTGGAGGATTTTGTCTGGCATGACCGAAAAGAAATCCGGAAGGTTCTAGGGTTCTAGGGTTCTAGGGTTCTAGGGTTCTAGGGTTCTAGGGTTCTAGGGTTCCCTTTCGAACTTTCATCAAAACTTCAGAGTTTCAGAGCTTCCGAGCTCCCGGTCTTCAGTGGATTTTCTCAAAGATATCCAAATTTCCTTTATCTTGAACATTATTGTAATAGAGTTTCTCCTTCTAACTGACTCCAAATTTTTTTCATCCCCTCTTCCTCTTTTTTCCGAAGATAAAGATCTTCCGAGGAACGAGAAATTTTCGGTGTGTGTGTGTGCGTGTGTGTTGAAAATTAGCCGATGAGGGGTCTCTTTTTGTTTCACAGACGGGACACATTTTGGATTGATCTTCAGATTGGATTCGCGGAAAACAGAATTTGATGGATTTGAGAGAAGGAGAGTTAAAGAATAAAGTTTTCATGTTTAATTATGAGTTCCATGGTTTCAGAACAGTAAACATTTTCAGCAAAATTCGAATTTATTAAATCATTTTTAGTGGACCAAAAAGCCTTTATCTACTGGATCTGCTGGCTTCTTGACGCTCATCAGCTCGATTTGAGATTCCAGCTCCTCCAAGTGCTCCGCCTCCTCGTTTCTCGCCTCAGAATATAGGCTCCCAGCTGAGCTCTCATTGCGGCAATCATTCTATCTTGTTCCTGAATCACCATTTCCTTCTCCTTTAGCTCCTCCTCAAGTATGAAGTTGGTGGACATAAGTTCGTCTACGACGGTGAGCTGCATGGTAGGTAGATTCTGAAGAACAGAGATTTATTATAATATGTGATAAATTGACTCAAAGATAAATTGATTCAAAGTGAAATGTTAGAGGGCCCTTATAATACATGATTTATAGTGTCTGTTTGTATCATAGTGTTACTTACATACAGATCTCTTCCTATGACAAATCTTCAAAACCTATGACAAAACTTCATAAAGTGTTAGATGTCATAGTCACCTGCGACAGCTGAAAATCTCAGAAAGCGTTTTGTCATTATTTCTATCCTTTCTTCTTTACTATTAGATCTTTATCAAACACGATAACAAATGTTTCTAGAATCACCGGATTCTTACAAGTTCACTCTTCATGCCATCACTGCTATCGCAAGTCCTCTACATGTTTTCGGCATTTATTGTATCATTTATCTTACACCGAAAACATGGGTTCTGCCAAATGGTATTTATTGAACTCACACGTTACATGCATTTTGCTCGATTGGGGTATTACTGTGTTAACTGTGCCATATCTTATCCTTCCGGTTATAGGAGGATATCCATTGGGAATCTTAAGATGGTTTGGAGTGCCCATCGTTGTGCAAATATATGTCAGTATGACTATGGTTTCTTGTAGGTTGACCTTCTGATAGTGTGAATCAATGAACCTAATTTTTTAGTTACTGTTACTTCTATCGTTTTAATTTTCGAAAATAGATTCTATCAGCTGTATGCAATAAATAGTTCCTGGCGCTACCTACGTATACCGTTCATCATAACCAATTATTTGCTAGATGCGACTCATGTACTGCCAGCATGTTTGATGGTTCCCGATCAAAAGGTTGCATTGGAGTTCGCTTATAAGGTCAGGCGTTCTCGAAACATAAAAGCATTTAAACATTTTTACAGCGAATACCAAACTTATCGGATGAGACAAAAGCCGAGACACTATTCTTTCTAGGAATTGACTTTTGGATTCAAATACCGTATTTTTTGATAGGCCTCAAAACAGCTGTACAAGTATGCTTGTTTATTTGGCTGATCAATCGTAATATGAGTTTGGAATCTAGACGTTTCACTAGATCTGAAAATACAACAAATCTCCAGAGAAAGTTTTTGAAAGCTATTAAAGCTCAGGTAAATAAATTCTTGAAATATCAAGTTGAATTGAAAACTATATTCAATTACAGTTAATGGTATTGGCCATTAACTTTTTATTACCCCAAACATATACTATGGTTTCATTCATCACACACTATTACAACCAATTTGCGAACAATCTGGTTATTATTGCAGTTTCGTTGCATGGTATCAACTCCACTTTAATTATGCTATGGGCTCATAAAACATATCGTGAATATTGTTTTACGATTTTCAAAAAGATCAGAAGTGTTTTGGGATGCACATCTGTTTCAGCAGTATCACCTACATCTTCCTTAACTGTTTTAACCTAATATTGTTATGGAATAAAGTTTGAAAATAATATATTTCCTGTAAATACGAACACATTGGAACACAGCAAAAGTCTGGATCTTCTTTAAACTGAATGTCTAAGATGAAGAGCTTTTTGACAAACGCAATTAACAAAAATGTTCCTCGAATCCCCAGAATATTACAAATTCACTCTTAATTAGAGCGCTGCTTTGGAGCTCGCTTTAGAGGTCTGTGGTTATCAAAGCAATAGACATTTGAGCGCAAATACCGTACATCGTGATAGGTCATAAGAATTTCGCACAAGTATGGATCCGCGGAAAAAAGGGAACATAATTAGATGGATTTGAGAAATGCATTCAAAAAATGACCTCGTAAAGGTTTCTTATTTTCTTCTGATACAAAAAAAGGAGGTGTGGAAGAGAAACTCCGGGTTGAAAATCGTTTAATTTTGTTCGATAAAATTGTGTTCTTTTGACTTTGCAACAACTCAACAAAACTCTCATTTTCCATGGTTTCAGAACAGAAGACATTTTAAACAGAACTCCAATTTATTCAATCATTTTCTGTAGACCAAAAAACCAAAAAAAAATACAAGCAGACAAATAAAAAATCAAATCAAGGATTCCAAAAACTTGACATCCATCATTCGACATTGCAAGTTGTTTCCATCCACCACCGCCTCCATCAACAGCTCTCGAATCTTCTGTGGAATCGTCTCTCTGAACTTCATCTGACCGAGTAATCCAGCGTTTTCGATAAAGAAGCGCTTTGTCCAATCGATTTGCTTCTTCAGCTCCAACTCCCTATGCTCGGCTCTCCTTTCAGCATTGCTCAACGACTCTGACATCGATTCGAATGATTCTTTCAATTGTTTACTGGAGATGCACGTGAAATCACTTGTTGGCTCCGGACCATCGTCGTCAGACTCTTCGGAATCAGTCTCATAGTACGGATGATAGAACATTTCATCTTTTGGAGCTACCTTCTTGACGTTCATCAGCTCGATTTGAGATTCCAGCTCCTCCAAGTGTTCCGAATACTTCTGCGTCAAGTATTCAACTTTGGCGTTGGCCTCCTTCTGAGCCTTCTCTATTTCCGCTTCAGCAGCTGTCTCATAAGCTCTAAGCCGAGCTCTCATTTCCGCAATCATCCGATCTTGTTCCTGGATCACGATCTCCTTCTCCTTTAGCTCCTCCTCGAGCATGAAGTTGGTGGACATCAGTTCGTCTACGACGGTGAGCTGCATGGTAGGTAGTTTCTGAAATAAAGATATTCATTAGGTAATAGAAGCTATAGACTTTTGCAGGGTAAAAAAAGCGACTTAAAGGTGGGGGGACATGAAAAAAATAATGTTCTCGAAAATCCGTTCAAAGATGCCCCTCGAGGAGTTGAACTTGTGAGGGCGATGATTGAGGGTGCGGCGCCGCTACCGACTGAGCCACGCGGGCAAAGAGAAAGCGCACGCCCGTTTGCATACATAAAGGCGAGGACGACAGCTGTACGCAGAGTGACATTAAGCGTTGTACACCGTGACGGTAGCATGCATACTCTAGCTACAAAAAAACTACGAAAAATCTCCTGTCCCCCTTTACCTTTAGTAGAGATTTAAAGTTTGGCGGAAAGATATAGGAACTGTTTAAAGAAGGCAACGTACGGTAGATTGGTTATAATGAGATCTACTAATGAATTGTCTTGGAAGGAAACCTTTATTTAGGACTCGACCAGGTGAGGTTGTTACCAGGTTGGGCTGTAAAGGCACCGTACCACATGATGATGTGAAGAGATAAGAGTGACATATTCATTGTTCATCTACAGTGACACCTATCTTAACTGAAGACCCAAAAACATGGGCTCTGCAAAATGGTACTTATTGAATTTACACGTTACGTGTATTCTGCTAGATTGGGAGATTACTGTGCTAGGTACCGCATCTTATCCTACCGGCCATAGCAGGATATCCATTACGAATCTAAACATGTTACCTGGTGCATTTTTTCATCCTGAATCGAATGGCATTCACAGAACTTTTGTATCTTTTCCCGTTCTTCTGAAACCCCCAAAATCGATTTGTGTCGAAAAGATACATCACTGTCTACTTCGTCTAGCATGAATACATTATTACACTTCCACAGGATCCTCAGACTGCGACCGCGTAGCGACTGCGACCGTTCCTTTTCCAGAACACCATTCCTGATTTAAGGTTCAAACTAGACTTCATTGTGTTTCTGGGTCACCCCACGACTATTACCAATCATCATATTTCAACATCACACTCAATTAGTTCCGATAGCTACCCATAAAAATTTTCCAGCACCATCCGATAAGTTACGAAATCAATTATGTCAGAGAAAATGATAGAGAGCGGTGGTAATAAAAAATTTACGACTTCTGCTTCTTGCTCCCCTCTCTACGACACAGTAGTCGACACTATAAAATTTGCGTTTGATTGAAATTGATAAGAAATTGTTGTGAAAAAAAAGGAATTGAAATTTGTTCTGGAAGTTTTGAAGAGGTCAGAAATTAGTGGGGTGTGGTCTGAACATATGGAAATTTGTAATGAAATGTTTTATGGCGAAGGAAGGAAAGTTTGAGGTAGTTATCGAAATTCGAAATTAGGAATAGAATATTATTAGTTTATGGTCTTGTCTCAGATTTTCTCTGTTTTCGGAGATTCTGAGATTCTGAGATTCTGAGATTCTGAGATTCTGAGATTCTGAGATTCTGAGATTCTGAGATTCTGAGATTCTGAGATTCTGAGATTCTGAGATTCTGAGATTCTGAGATTCTGAGATTCTGAGATTCTGAGATTCTGAGATTCTGAGATTCTGAGATTCTGAGATTCTGAGATTCTGAGATTCTGAGATTCTGAGATTCTGAGATTTTGAGGTTTTGAGGTTTTGAGATTCTGAGATTCTGAGATTCTGAGGTTTTGAGGTTTTGAGATTCTGAGATTCTGAGGTTCTGAGATTCTGAGATTCTGAGATTTTGAGGTTTTGAGGTTTTGAGGTTTTGAGATTCTGAGATTCTGAGATTCTGAGGTTTTGAGGTTTTGAGATTCTGAGATTCTGAGGTTCTGAGATTCTGAGATTTTCAGATTCTGAGATTCTGAGATTAATAGCTTAAAGTTTTACACAGAAAAAAAAGAAATCTGCGTTGTCTCTCCAACGAGGTTGCCTTCTTTAAAGGCGCATATCAAAAAGACCGTAGAATCTATCAAAAAATATTGTAAATTATAAAATTGCTCAGCATGAAATTTCCTACATTTTCATAGTTTATGACTCTTTGTTATCACTAAAACTAAGTGAGATAAGCCTGTTGAAAAAAGAGCGTAATCCGCTTTTCAACACATTAGCGGAAACAAAAAATTGACTTTCTATTTTCAATAATTTTCTGATAACAACAGTGTTACGCAACTTCTTTTCATTGTTATCTTTCTCTATCAATTTTCCGTATACAGAGAAACACACACACACACATTTTTTCAGAATGGCCCATTTGTTATTTTTCTTTTTGAAATATTATTTGCTCTTATTATTGATAATTCAAGCTGATGGCTCTGATAGCTGTGCTGGCACCTTTTCCAGCGCTGCTGGCACTTCCTTGGAAGAGGTATGAAAACATGCTCTATTGAGAATATTGTAAAATTTTAGATAAACGGAAAGTGCATAGTTGCTACAAAACAAAACTACAAAACAAGTGGAGGATCATCAGCTGCGACAACATGTACAAGTATTGGAGTCGCTTCAGGAAAGAAAATGTATCCATATGTGCCGTTATCAATAGATAGTAAAGCCGAAAATGATCATGTTAAAGGTGAGAAAAGCCAAATTGGTAAAAATTAGAACCTAAATACCAGTAGACTTCCGTTATTTTAATGTTGTTAAAAAATTCGAAGTTGTTGTTTTTTTCTCAAAATCAACATAGGAGTTTTTGACTTGGTGTTTACCTTGATTCCATTCTAAACTTGTATTGAATTGTTTAAGGTTATTGGAAATGTCCGAAAATTGACATTTTTGAGCATTCGGCGAGCAGAAAGTATGCACAAACACATATTTTCAGATGGCATGGCAATTAACGACATCGACACAGCTTATAACGGACTAGTGCTATCCGGATTGTGGCAGTGGATAAATGGAGATTCATCGAGTTATTCGAATTGGGGTAAGTTTGCAATTATCTCGACAACTACTAAAAAATTACGGAGAAAACTATGCTTTTGAAGTACACTTTCAGTCCAAATATGTATTCGAAATAACCACTTTCTTTTTAAAAAAATTTGGAACGAAAAATGTGAATTTCCAGCCAAGCCGCCAGTCACACAACCACCAACTCCTGGTACAACTACCGTACCATTCCGATCAACCCTTCCACCATCCCAACAGCGAAGATCCACAGCTGTGGTTATTGGAATAGATGCCTCTTTGTTTTCGACAAGCTCACTTACTTTTGCGGTAAGCTTTTTTTTGACGAATGCGCTCTATTGCACAGCCAATGTACCTTAATGGGGACCTTTTGTACATGTTGACTTATTTAAAAGCGCATTCCGCGAAAATCAATATTGTTACGAAAAAGTTGAATAATACAAAAATGTTAATCATAAAATTTCACCCATTTGGTTAATTGACACAGTTTTGGTAACTCAAAAGTTAACGGAGATACAAGCGCTTAAAGTTGTACATCATACGATGTCTCCTGCGAGATTGACTTCTTTAAAGACACGTATCACAAATACCATCGAACCTATCAAAAAGTTATTAACTACAAAAATATTAAACATAAAATTTTACACATTTTGCTAATAGACAACGTTTTTGTATCTTTTGAACTTATGGAGATATAGCGTCTTAAAGTTTTACGTCGATAAAGTGGTATCTGCGTTGTCTAAAGTGAGGTTGACTTCTTTAAATATGTAAATCTCAAGAACCAATAATGCTATCAAAAAGTTGTTGACTACAAAATTGCTAAGCATAACATTTTACACATTTTGTTACTTTTCAAAATTTTTGATATCTCAAAAACTATAAGAGATACAAACTCTCAAAATTGTACGTCGCAACTACGCTCTACCGTACCACTCCAAATTTCAGCAACTCGACTTTGCTCGTTCCCTATCCACCTATATCGCTGAGCGTGGACCCGCAGAATTTGCAATTTTCGCCTATGGCTGCACAGTCCAATCTCCATATATTGTACAGTATCCAAATTTTGTCAGAACATTTGACGATACAGATGCCATGATTTCCAATGTGAATGAGATGATTATTCATGATTGTGTAAGAAGTAATCCTCTTGATTTTAAAGGGTAAGTGATGAAACAGTTTCAGACAAAACCAATTTTCAAAAAAAAACTTGTCCAGAATGTTCCGTGACCAGACAGTCTACTACAACCGATACTCCAGATCGTATAGACCGTTCAAATCGAAATTTTTGTCTATGATCTACTTTAGTTCTTCAACGTGAGCCTTTAAATGTGACCCAAAATTCCATTGCCCCGTCCCATTATTCCAGAGACTCGGATAATATCAAAGCAGCAATTTCGCTCTACCCAATCACCAATTCAACTGTTATCACAGTCAATGTTGGAAATTCGTCAATCGATATTTCTAGATTATCGATTCCGGTTTGGAAGTATGGATTTCGTGTGAACACTACAGATGACATTATGGGTCTCGTACCGAAAATCGATGCGATTATTTTTGGAGATGGATATGTGCATAGTTCTATCGCTGGTTTAGCAGTGAAACCAGAGAAACAAGAGCAAAATGAGCAAAAAGAGCGTAAATTGGATTATTCGGTTAGGATTAGAGGTGAGCAATTTTCACAGTTTTGTATCTCGGCTGGTTTTGGAGATATGGCAAAGTTTATCGTTCACAAAACATGTAAAATTTTATGCTCACCGTTTTTGTAGTTGGTTGCTTTTTGATAGAATTGTTGGTTCTTGAGATATGCGCCTTTAAAGAAGTAAACATGAATGAAGTTAGCACAAATGCCTCTTTTGCGGTGTGCAACTTGTAGCGCTTGTATCTCATTTAGTTTTAGAGACCTCAAGAAGTTATCAACTAACAAAATATGTAAAATGTTATGCTTAAAATTTTTGTAGTTAAAGGAGGGCAGACAGCAAAAATTTCGGGGAAAATTTCAGGGAACGTGTATTTTGCCGTCGCGGTGTTAGCACCTAAAGCGCGCAATCGTACGCGCAAACTACTTTTCATGTTTTTTCATTATTTTTATTTTGCGGCTTTTTTTTTAATTTTTAGCAATTTTAACTGTTTAAAACTCAGTTTTTTTTCAATTCATCATAAATCCCGTAGAAAATAGAACGGTTTCGCAATTATTTTGTACAATTGACTAATTATTTTGACTTAATGATTTTTTAATAATGTTCAATTTTTTTATCAGACAAAACAAACGAAAGCGATGATGACGATGAAGAAAAAGAACGAGAAAAACAAGAAGAACATTAAGAGCAAGAAGAACAAGAAAAGGAAGAAGAAGACAGTAAAGGAAAAAGAAGAAGTCAGGCAGCAGAGGAGAATTAGTGAGTCTTTGAAATTTATTGTCGTAGATCTCTTCTCAACTCGTAGCTTTCATCATCTTCACTCTCCTCTAGATCATCGTGATTTTCTCCCTCATCATCCATTAGAACTAGATGGTCCCAAACTGAATCGATCTGAAAACGTATAATTTAGAACCCGTCATTAGAAAAAATATCACATCTGAAGTTGTGTTCGATTTGAGGGAAGTTTAGCCTCATTGATGTAGCAATACTTTTTGAGCGGTCTGAAGTGAAACTTTTCACAGCTCCAGGCTCCAAGTACTTTGATGCTTCCTCAACGAGTCTGGAAAAACTCTTCTCAAACCCTTCCTTTTCCATATCGTATCTCTTCTCTGAATAAGCAATTCTAAAATTTAATATGGCTTCAAGTTTCAGTACCCCTGTTTTCTGTCGGACAATCTCAAAGTCTAGGGCTAGATGGTATTTAGAATCCGTTAACACATATCTTAGATACAGTGCTGATCTTCCCATACTGTCGAATGAACCATCTCCTACCATGTTCAAAGCACCATCCTGAAATAATGCTCACTTTGTTTCCTAGAAAAAAATGAATTCGAATTACATCTTCATAGGCTTTTCTCATAAACTCCCACACCCACTCCTTTGTGTTCTGGTACCAGATCGTCACCGCGGGATAAACATAATTTCCTTTGATTCGATCGTAAGTTCTCGCTGTGAAACAAGGAGCGTCGATGATGTAGAACAACTGTTTCACCTTCTGGAATACACTGCTAGTTATCTTTCCTGATTCAGCGTTCACCCTAATTGGTATATAAGAAGCTTGAATACAAATACATGCCGCCTACATTCCGGCTAACCTCAAAATCACACCCAGATAGGAAAATTCCGGAAGCCAGGTCTAAATGAATTTCCCGTAGTTGTTGTCTTCCTTCTCTTGAATCGGATTGGCAAAATTTAGAATTGTTCCATTTCCATTTCCTCCCGCAATCACAACATTGACATACCTTCAGAAGTTTTTTTAATAGGATTTTCGTTATTTTTAGCTTTCTCACATTCATGTTGAAACCACGATAATCAATATTCATGTCTGCCTTACTTCCACATTTTCTGCATACTTTGAGAAGTGATAAAACTGATTCAGTAGAAGAGATACAGTACGTTTTATGACTGGGATTTTCAGATACTTCTCCTCCACTTCTACTGCTGCCGTCGTCTTCAGAGAACCACCCGTCCGGCGGGGCATACTGTAATTTTTGTTGTTGTTCTCTTTTTAATTGTTAGGAATTTCTCATAAATATCTATTGTATTTTCTTTTAACTTCTTTTTGTAAATATAAATCTGTATTTTTCAAATCTTCTTCTCATGCAGATACCTCGGAACTAGGCTCTGAAGGAACACTCTGCGTCTCCTCTAATCCAACAATTTGGCTCTTCCATACCCAGTGATCGAGCGCTTCCTCTTGCGGATTATTCCAGGACACCTGTGAATTGTATTCTCAGTGATTTTGGAAGCGATTTAGTTACTCACTGGATTCGGAAGTTTGAACCTGCCCTTTCCATTTGAAACATGAGCCAAGCAGATGTATGGACAACGAAATGCCTGACAGTTTCTTCGAAAAGCTCCGCCCAGAATCTCCGACCATTTCTCTCTCTGTTTATCATTTCATGGAACTTTGGTTGCTTCTTTTTTCAGAATTTTGTCTCCACACGCACAACAAGTAACAAAGAGCATTTTTGAACAGGCGAAAATACGAAAGAAAAATAGAAAACAAGTGTCGTAAACTTAGATGTATTCGACGCTGTGTAGGTAGAAAGTTTCAGAATAACAACGTCAATTCCCTGGATCGTACAATCAAAAATTATGAAACATGCAAGATAGTATCTGTTTCCCCATTTCTATTTTGAAAAATGATGTTAACAAAGCGAAAAAAAAGAGAAAACCACGTGAAGGAATCGAACTCTTGACTTCATGAACGACAGTTTCGCGCACAACCACTTACACCGCGCGCGCACGTTGTGAGTTTTGTGTGGTTTCGTGTTATGAAGCAACGCGGCGACAGCAAGACGCAGTGGTCAAACAGAAGTGAATTTTTTAGCCGATGAGATGATTTTTTTCAGATTTTCAATTAGGTATATATACTTGCACTTTAGATTCACATATTTTAAGAAAAAAATGAAAATTTTGAAATTTTTGATGTCTGGCCTCCTTTAATAGCTTTTTGATAGAATTATTAGTTCTTGAGATATGCGTCTTCAAAGAAGTGCTTCTTCCAGAACCTTCGAATCTCGCAACCAGCTACGAGGACTGCGCCTATATGAACGCCACTGACGGCTTATGGTACTCTGATGGATCGTGTGCTACAAAACGTCAAATTCTATGTCAATACGTTTTACCACAACCACCACAACCACCAACTCCAAATCCCACTTTTGATTGGCAGGATCCGTAAGTTCCAGTACAACCTGTAATAAAATGACACTTGTAACTTTGAGCCAATTTTTCTCGATTCCTGTAAAAGATATCAAAAAGTGATCATCTGATAAAATATTTTTGACTTTATGATAAACATTTTTATAGTTGATTACTTTTTGATATCTCTCACTGGAATCGAGATATATAAGCTCAAAGTTGACAGTAGTGTTTTTTCTAAAAAGTTCAAATTTCAGCTGCTACTTCGAGACCACGAACTTTACTTATTTCCAAATTTTAGAAAATTCGAAATGCTATCGGGTAAGTATCCCAAGAACCGAGATTTTTGGAGGAAAAAAAATACGGAACACTTTCAGATGTCCGTGTCGAAGAAGCAGTTCGCAGAAGCCGAAAACGTTTGCATTTCCAACCATCCCCTTTTCCTGCATACACCTAGACTAACATCTGTAGAAAGTGCCGATGAAGAGGCGCAATTGAGAAGTAAGCTTAAAAAAGGATAAAAAAGAAAGGGGAAGAACGGAGGGTCGAACCAACAACCCCCAAAAGCGGGCAGATCGTCAGCCGCGCGCGCTATCCACTGCACCACGGAGGCACACCCATGCATATCCCTTACTTGTTATAAAAAACACCACCGCATTCACAATTTTTTTCAGCACTCGTCGCGAATATCACTTCGGAAGGCATGTTTTGGTTTGGACTAAAACGGGATCCCGTCAACTCGACGAATTGGTATTTTATCAATGGAGATATCTATGATGCATCGTATAGTAATTGGAGAGATGGATATCCGAGAGACGCAGACGGTTGTGATTGTGTAGCCATGGTCGTGAATGATAACAAATGGATCAATACGGATTGTAATAAGTCATTATACTCGATATGTGCATTTAGATTTAATGTGACTGATAAAGCGTTTTGATTCGATTCTCATTGTTTTAAATGAATAGGGACCGAAGTTAGCTTCAAAATGGGTATAAACACGGCTAGATTCGTAACATTTTGAAATTTTGGGTCCCACCATGAAAAGCTAAAAATTACTGTATCTCGTCTATTTTTGTCCCAAATTATTTGAAAATACAGCGATGAAGTGCTTTTTAAATTCATCAAACTCATAGCGCCACTGATTTCTAGTGCTCTAGCGCAATTTTATAATCTTACAATGATGAGAGGAAGTGTCCCTAGCAGATGGAAAACGTCAATAATTGTTCCATTACCTAAAAAACTAAACCAACCAATCCAGTCGACTATCGTCCAATTTCTCTCACATCGCACTTATGTAGACTGTATGAAAGATGTATTCTAAGTAGACTAGCTCCTTATCTAGATGAGAGACAGTTCTGGAGTAGGAATCAGCATGGTTTTAGAGCAAAAAATCAACAGTTACTAACATGATGGAGAGTTTGAATTATTGGACTGATATGATTGAAAATAAGGGACAAGTAGATGTTATTTACCTAGACTTTTCTAAGGCATTTGATAAAATTCCACACGATTGCCTTCTTAATAAGCTACAACAACTTAATTTGAATCAGTACTTGTTAAAATGTCTTGACAATTTTCTTTCTGAGCGTAATTATAGAGTAAAGGTTGGGTCCGCGCTATCATGATCAAAACCAGCAATTTGCGGAGTTCCACAAGCAACAGTTTTGTCCCCAGTTCTTTTTGGGATCTATGTTAATGAAATATCGTCTATTCTCCCTCAAGAAGTTCACTGTAAACAGTTTGCAGATGATACTAAACTATATGCCTCGGTTAACAAAAATGATTCTGACAACACGCTGCAAAAAAGCATAGACTTAATACAAAATTGGTCTGAAAAATCCAAACTCCCGCTTAACGCAAAGAAAACCGTTGCTCTTACAGTAGGTAAATGCAAAAAAGCTATAAACTACTTCATTGAAGGTCAATCTATCAAAAAAGAGACAATAACCCGTGACTTGGGATTTATAGTATCTGAAAAACTGGATTTTTCTGAGCACTGGAGACAAGCAACCAACAAGGCTAAATTCCTCTAGATTTGGACATTTTTGGTCCCACCACGAAAAGCTAAAAACTACCGTATCTCGGCTAGTTTTGCTCCGAATTTTGTGAAAATAATACAGTTAAAATTGTCTTGTTATGTGCTTCAAAACAAGTATAAACACGGCTAGATTCGTAACATTTCGAGATTTTGGGTCTCACCACGAAAACATAAAAAGTACTGTATCTCGGCTGATTCTGCTCCGAGTTTTGTGAAAATTATACTGTTAGAACTGTCTTGTTATGAGCTTCAAAATGAGTATAAACACGGCTAGATTTGGACATTTTTTCGTATTACTGTACTTTTCCACTCGAGACCCAAAATTGTGAATTTTTAATAATACATCTAAATTACGCTCCCCAAGAGCTTCAAAATGAGTATAAACACGACTAGTTTCTGAGAATTTCGAAAAATTCAAATTTTAAAGGATTACTGTACTTTTCCACTCGAGACCCCCAAAAATTTCAAAATTGGGTTTCCAAAGCTTCAAGGTGATTACTCTAATCCGATTTTTTCGTAATTTCGAACCACATTTCAGGCCAAAATTTATTTTTCCAGAAAATTCAATTTTCAAAAAAAAATTTGAAAAAAAAACAAGAAAATTCGAGAGAAAGCGAGTAAGAGAGAGAAAGTAACAGAGAGAGAGAGAGAGAGAGAGAAAGAGGGAAACTAATTTTCAGACAAACAAAACGAAGAAACGTGGTTAAAATTGGGTTGGAAGAGGCGGAGAAGGAGCATGACAGAATACCAGTCACTTGTAATTTTTTCTCAAAAATTGAAAAAAAAATTTTTGATTTGGGAAACAAGGAAACATGATAAGACTCACAGGATGGATGGGGAAAATTGGCTATTATAATTTAGCAAAAAGGATTTTTCAAAAAAGAAAAAAAAAGAGTGAGATTCTTCGAAAATTAAAAAATCAAGAATTCAGAATTCAGAATCCAGATGACGTCGTCACATCGCTTCAGATGCGTGCCTGCATTCCACCGTTGATTCCGATCGTTTCTCCGGATATGTAGCTAGCTTCATCCGATACCAGGAAGGCCACAGCTTCGGCACACTCATCCGGGTCTCCGAATCTACGCTGAGCAATCTGCGAGAGCCATTTTTGCTTCTCGACCTCGTCGGCGAATAGGGCTTGCGAGAAGTCGGTTTGGATGATTCCTGGAAGAAAAAATTGTTTTTGAATTTTCAAATTTTTTGGATGTTTCGATTTTTCTGGGTAATTCTAGGTCCTTCTAGATCTTTCTAGGCCCTTCTAGACCTTTTCAGAACGTTCAGGATCTTTCTGTATTGGTCTGAATCCTTCTGGATCCTTCCGGATCCTTCTGGCATCTTCTGGATCCGTCTAGGCCCTACTAAATTTCTCTGGATCCCTCTAGATCCTTCTAGATCGTTCTGGACCCTTCTCGATTCTTCTAGATCTCTCTAGAG